GCCATGAGTTTAAGGAGCCTCCGAGTCTCCGATAGATGCCAATCCAATCAAATTATAACTCGGTTTCTGTGCACGGTTCAGCTTTTGCCAGGGCTTTTGTGGCAAAGCAAATTTATGCAATTTTCAACTCTTTTGTATTGTCCCTGACCTTTTGCCATGGGTCACCTTTGTGTGTGTGGTGCGTGCCTTCATTTGCTTTGATTTGATTTTGAGTTTCTCTTCCTTTTTTTTGCATTAATAGTTGATCTACTAAGCCAACCCGTGCTGGCAGAGGCAGTCGGAGGCTGTCAGCTATGCAAAAGTGTTTTTCCATCATCTGTCCCCTTCTTGCACTGTCGGTCGCTGTCTCTGGCTCAGGCTCTTAATTGCTCTCTGTCTCTCCCTGTGCATAGAAGAATATTTAATATTCATACTTGCGCTCCATTCGTGCAGCTAATGTCGAGGTTTTGGTCTCTTCTCTCTCGGTTTTGTCCTGTCTGCTGCTGCTGCTTCCTGCTGCTTCCTGCTGCTTCCTGCTGTTGTTGTTGTGCTTTGGCATAACAAATCAAGTTGCGGATTATAAATGGAATCCTTTTTTAATTGAAATATATATCCTGTGCCTGGGCCATGCACGAGTGTGCCTCATTAATGCGCTGTGTGTCCTTCTCCCTCTGTGTGTCTGTCTCTCGCTCTGCTGGCATCAATTGATGCGTTTTTGATTGCAAATTTACCACAAACAGCGCAGATCGCATGCCACACATGTGCGAGCGGGAGAAGATGCTAAAGTGAGCGGTTGAAAAGGGCAATTGGCAGCAGCAGGGGGCAGGGGGGGGGTAAGCACTTGGACATTACTCATACGCAGTGTGTGCCTGTGCTTGTCGTCGGTGTGTCGATGTGTCGGTGTGTCGATGTCTGTTGTTGGCGAAGCAAAAAGCAACTTAAATTCTACTTACAGCCAAATATGTAATAAATACGAGCTTAAAAAAGTTTATCTATATTTCAACCGCACGCAGTCATGTGCTTACACACACACACACACGGAACACACACATACACACACATACTGGGTGGAGTACATAAGAACTCTCTGGCGCTGCCTCTGCCGCTGCTGTTTTTTTGCTGTCGCCTGGCCAAAAGTTTTTTGAAAGATGTTACCACCCCCGCCCGGCCCGCCCAGTTACAGAACCAGACACGAGCTCTCGAGTTGAAGCTGAAGCTAGTGCCCCCGTGCCCCCAGTCCCTGCTGCCTGCCACAGACGAGAGTCGCACACGTCCAGCAGCTAGCAAAAGTTTACTTTTTTCCCATCACTTTGCTCTGCTCCACGCTCCACCAAGCTCCGCTCCGCTCTCTCCCTTTTTGCACAAACGAAAAATAAGTAAGTGCTGGGAGCCAGTCGAGTGCTTTTTCGGTTGGGTTTTTGGCAAAAGGAGAGGGAGGGAGGCAGCTATCATTAGATGTATGACTATTCACTTTTGCAGCTTTAAATTTCGCTCTCTCTATCTCTGGGTCTCTCTGGCACTATTTTTGAAGAGCTGCTGCCTGCCACTGCCACTGCCACTTATTCCTTTTTTCAATTTTACAAGCAGCCGCAGCCACGTCATGGCAACCAAAAACCAAATCCTGACAAGCCTCACGCCGTATAAATTGTCGCAATCAAGCAGGCATACAAAAGCGGGCGGAGTGGGGGTGGCGGCAGCGGCAGCAGGCAGCAGGCAGCAGACCAAGTGAATGCCAAAGAAAAAAACTCGAGCAGAGAATCGGGAAAACCGCCAGCAAGATGAATTACTGCAAATTATCCAGTTAGAACTTTGGGGACTTTGAAACAAAACCAAAAGGCGAGAGGGAGTGGCATGTGGCAGGGGGAACTTGCTGACGTTTTAACAAGTGGCGGCCAGAGACAGGATTTTGCCTCGAAAACGGCACACAAAATGGGACATTGAAAGCCAAACCAACTGATTCTGATTCATAGTTTCAGCAGCTGCTTTTGCTGCTTTTATTTACCCAAAAAATTGTTTAGTTTAACAACAGAAAAACCCTTAAGCCACCCTTTTGCTTAATAAAGAACACTGGGAGGAAAAAACAAGCCATTTTGGCCATCAAAAATAGCCGCAAAAATTCAGGGGGAATCATGAAAATGCCTCATTAAAACGTTTCACTTAGCAGGGAGAATCGGGGAATCAGGGCCACAGCCAAGAAACCTTTTTCGGTTGCGAAAATCAAGGGAAAGTAGTCGCAAAAAAGGGCGAACCCTTTCGCGCTACATCAAAATCAGACTTGCAGGCAGTCAGCCTCCGAATTGCTTTGCTGCTTTGCTGCTTTGCTGCTTGCCTCTGCCATTCATTCATCCTTCCAGCCATCCATCTTCCTCTTTGAGCAACTTCCTTATCGATGGCTGCTTTTGGGGCTCATTTTTCGGGGCAGTTCTTGCCTTAATTTTGGGGAGGACACACAGCGAAATAAAAATCACCCGCAGCACTCTTTTGTCGGCAACATTCATTAATGTCAGCCACAGAAGGCAAAGGAGGCAGGCGGCAGGCGGCAGGAGTCGCCACTCTAGGCACATAATGTGCCACAAAACGCATAAAATACATATACACTCACACAGTTACAGACACACACACACACACACACACGAATACCACTCTGGACTCTGTCTGACATTGTAGTCTGCGAAGTCTGCGGAGTCTGCAGAGTCTGCCCGCTGTTTTATATAACGATTACGATAATGAAGCGTCGCCATTTCCACTGAGCGCAGCATTTTTGTACACAAAATGAGCCAAATGAATGGCCTGGCATTTTGGTTTGGGAAAAAGAGGATTGAGGGAGAGGCAGGGCTTGAGGGCTGCTGCTGTGGCAGCAACGTCTGTCGTTGATGGCTTTTTGAAGTTCTCCTGCGACGACAGCAGCAGCCAGCAGCAGCCAGCGGTCGGCGGGGGCCGAATGATTGGGGATTATGACGAATTAATGAATTCAGATTTAAATAAAATTACCGCCGCGTGCGCCTGCTTGTTAGTGGCAGCAGCAGTTGTCACGCCCCTCTGTCTCCTATGTGGCAGCCAGCCGCCTGCCTCGCTGGTGTACATTTAACGTTTGCTAATAGAATTAAAGTTTGCGGCTGGCCCCCACCACCGATGGGAGGCAACAACATAATGATCCGAGCGATCCGATCCCCGACGCTGTAGGGGCTGGGCTGGGGCAGGGCAGTGTAATTATGACAGCCATTCGATGGCCAAGTGGGTTCTGGGGCGGGAACATTAACAACAGGCTGGGCCGTGATGCCGATGCCGCAATGAGCAGTGTTTCGGTGTGTGTTGGGTGTGTGTGTGTGTGTGCCTCCGCTTAATTAACAACAACAATTGCAATTGTAGTTGCCACCGCTAGCTGCCACCTACTTGGCACTGCCTGACTGCTGCTTCCTGCTGCCTGCTGCCTTCTGCCTCTTCCTTCCGGCACCTGAGCTGGCAATTTTTGTGTCATTTGGCGCGTGCAGCAACCTTCGCTGTTCGGGCTCTGTTCCGTTTGTATTGTTGCGGCATTGTTGCTGATTGTTAATTGAAAAACAATGTTGTAGTTGGTTGCATCGACGGCTGCACTTGAAGAGCTGCGAATTGCAGGGCGCGCAAGGCGCGAACAACAACCAGTTGGCTGGCAAGCGGGGAAACGGCGCGGCGCAAGCTTAATTAATTTTTATAAGGCCGCAGTTGCCTTCGCTGTTGCTGTCGTTGTCGTGGCTGCATTTTAATTACTGTGCACAGGAGTTGCGTTGCAGGAGTTGCCGTAAGCGCATTGATTAAACTTAATCAATGGCCCATAAGCGGGCAGGGCGGGACAGAGCAAGGCAGGACAAGGATGGGCGTCACTCGCTCTAGCTGAAGTTCCGGGGTCAGGCTTTGGTTTGGGGTCAGCGTAAGCATCAGCGTCAGATTCAGCTTCGACACGAGCTTCGACAACAGTTTCTTCGCTGGTCTTGGAGCTCATTAAAGGCCGCAGCGAAACTTTGGCAAGCAATGTGCAATTAGCAGCAAAGGATAGAGAGGAGGAGCAGACGTAGCTGATGAAAAACTTGTCACATTATAATATTGAATGGCAGACAACAACAGACAAGACAGGGAGCCAAAGCCAAAGACCAAAGCCCAAACAAGCTTACTGAAGGTGAAAACTGTCTTCTGTCTTGTCGAAAGAGCCAATCAAAAGGCCTGCCGACTGCTTTATGCTTTTGTCAAAGGATTATTAAGGATTTTGCACAGCTACAGGAGGCAGTGGCTGCTGGCTGCTGGCTGCTGTCTGGCTTCTGTGTTTAATAGCAATTCAGATCAAAATACTTGACATACAATTGCTACGAATGTCCGTCATTAAAGTGGCAACTAAATTGATTCCAAAATTAAATTCCCTGCCATGCTGGGGTGGAGGGGAATGCAATCAAAATGTGATACCCAATTTGCAGACAAAAGTGCAGTGGCAGCCGAGACAGAGGCAGCAGCTCCATCCTGCATTCATTTAGGCCATCAATTAAAATATCAAATGACAACTGAAACGAGTTTGTGTCCCTCAGTTACTCAGTCCCTCCTGGTCAGTTCATCATTCGCTGATTTCCAGCCAGTAATGAGCCAGTGGAGGCTCGCACCGAAGTCCGTTCCGTTCCGTTTCGTTTCGTTCAGTTAGTTATTTAGTTGGTTGGTTAGTTAGTTAGTTGCCTGGTTTGACAGTCAACTATCATTATAAGTTCTTGTGCGCCATAATGGCTAAAACTTTGTCGCTGTCTCCTCGCTCGCTCGCTCGCTCTCCCTTTCCCTTGCCCTTGCCCTTGCTCTCGCTCTTGGTTTGGTTGGTTGAATTCTTCAATGGGGTGGCTGCGGGTGGACCGTTCTATGGGCCATCATTGTGCGCACTCACTGTGCAATTAGCAGCAGTTTTCAGGCCATTAATTGAGTTGCTCGCAGAACTAAAAAACTAAGAAAAAACTCAACGAACAATTGCAACTTTGAAGCTAACGAAACGCTCTCTTTTGATTCTTTTGCAGATCGAGGACGCCATGCTGATGTTCGATAAGCAGACCAATCGGCACAGAGGTGAGTTTTTGGCGATATATTCCACCCCATAGAAGGATCCTCAACCCATTTGCTAGCAACGTTTCCGGTCCTTAACGATGATGGCCCCAACCCGAGACGACGTTAGCCGGAAGTGCGAGAGAGGGAGAGAGAGAGCTTAGCAGACACACACACATACGCAATGTGTGTGTCCTTTCATGTGTGTGTGTGTTGTGCGGTGGAAAAGATACTTATGAAGGGCTTTTCCATTGCAGGTTTTTGGGGGCTAACGGGAAAGGGCTAAATCTGGTTTTAAAACGAAACGGTGTTCAGGGCCCTGTTAAGGCATTAAAATGGACAGGGCCAGGGCAACAGGATGTAGAGGCAGCCGAAAAGATTACCTGCCAATGCAACCGGATATAAGGGCCATAAGAGGATGGCCCAGCATACCCCAGCAACTCGTTCCGGAGACATAGCGAGGTCAGGTGAGGCAGTGGCAGTGGCAGTGGCAGAGGCAGCAACAGCAGCGACAGTAAGCTTAAATCTCCAGTGTGTACATCCGCTACACGAACTTGTAGCGCACGACTGCGCCTTGTCCATCTCTGCAGCAGCAGCAGCAGCAGCAGCATCTCTGTCTGTGTCCCCACCTGATGTTCATCTGTTCACCCTCGCTCCCTGCTGCGCCACGGGATGTGTCCTGGATGTGTCCTGGATGTGTCCATGTCCTGTACACAGTCCGATGCCTTGTGTCGCTTGTCAATTTTGCTTATTAAAGTTTTAAATGACGCCCCGAATTTCGCATTGCGACCAGCTCCCATTGACTCCCATTGACATGTCCATTGTGAGTGGTTGCAGGGGCAGGAACAGCAGCGACGCACGAGCATAGGGGGCGGTGTAGGGTCTGGTGGGGGGGGGGCTACAACCTGAGACACGGGGCATTAAGATTGATGTGCCCAATTTTGCACAAACCTCGAATCGAAGGGAGCAGGCACAGACACAGACCACAATGTGAGTGCAGCAGCACTGCTTCCCCCACTTCCTGCTGCTCTTTGGTCAAAAGTAATTAGCTCGCACACACACACGCACAGAGAGAACACAGATACAGCATCAATAGTTGGTGGGTTGCTGGGTCGGTTCCCTCTCTCGGACATTGTTCACTTTTGCGCCCTTCAAATTACGCACACGGGAATAAGAAAACATGATTTTTGCTTGTGCGCGGCCCATAAAAAATTGTACCACACTTCAGTGCGCCGCATCGCAGATAAGCGCCAGAGGAGAGAGAGAGAGGGGAAGAGGCTGTTGCGGGGGCAGAACAGAGCAACGTAACCCAGCAGAAGAACATTTCGCTTAATTGGACGCTGGAGTATGCTGAAACTGCATGATGATGCAGTCATATGTACATACATAAAAAAGAAGGCTTGAAAAGGGGAAATAAAGAGAAAGAGAATGGGAATGAAAAGGAAGTAGCTACAGCCAATAAAAACGAATATGAAGCATTTTAAAATAATGTGAAGGACACACGACCACGGGCCACGGGCCACGGCCCGGAGCCATCACATTAAAGATTTAGACTCTCGGCACGAGGTGGGTACCCAACCAACCAAGCAACCATTCGGGTCTATAACAAGGAAAAATAATGAGAAACTTTTGTGGCCGTGGCAATTTCCACTCAGGTATGGCCCTACGTAGACCTACGACTGTGTGTGTGTGTGTGGTGCGGCTTACTTTTCTGATTTGCCAATTAAAAATGCATTGGCCGGCAGTTTAGCTATTGACACGACTCATTGGCTGAGCAATTCATTTGGCCCGGAGCGGAGAGAAGGCAAGGGAGAGAGGGGCAGGCCATGTCAGCATTGCAAATTGCAATTGCGTGCATCGATCGGAGAACACGGTATGAAATATGCAGGCATTGTTTGGGTGGCAGTGCCAGCCAACTGCCCAACTTCACAGGCCAACGTCCATGCCGCCGCCTCGTACCCAAGTCAATAGAATATGTGTGTCGTTAATCAAAGGGTATTAGTTGTAGCAGAAGCCTTCATTGCCACGACCAGGACCTGGACGAGGACGAGAACGAGAACGAGGACAACGATAGCTAGAATGGAGAATGGAGAATGGCGATGGCGTTGGCGACTTTTTGTACAGTTGGACGATGTACGACCTTATTGCCACGAGTCGTCGGACTACCGGCTGCCCCATCTTTTCAGCTGCCCCTGCCCTGCCCTGCCCTGCCCTGCCTACTGGCACTTGCGATATGCCTGTAATTGCATTTTATCGATCCAAGAGCGGGCTGCCTCGTATACGTGGCAATTGCCAGCGTGCTGGCTGGCACACACAAACAAGCCAACGACCATAATAAAGAAGCCAACGGAGAGGGAGAGGGTGCAGCGAGCGGCAGCGGCAGTTGGACACAAAAAAAAAAAAAAGAAACGAACGTGAAGGAAAAGTGGAAAAGACGTCGCTGGTTGCTCCGGTTGCTCCGGCTACACGGCAGCAAGTTTGTTACTCATTCATAAATCATGTGTGCAGCACCAGCGACAGGCACACGGAGGGACAGGGAGACAGACAGACAAATACGACAAAACGACAGACATTGGAACACACATAAGCCTGGTCACTGAGAATTGCAGCAACGCAGCCCAGGAGGCCAAAAAACAAGCGACAGAAACAGTTGGCCCAAAAACTACATACAAGCGAATCGGTTTATGGATGAGGAATGGATGGGAACTTCTAGCAAAAAACTGAAAATATAGGGAAACAATATATGAATATGCCATAAAACAATATAGGCAGGCAGAGCAGGCCCTGAAAGCAATGGCAACAATAACAGAAATAACAGAAAATAGCAGCAGCAGCGGCAGGGAAAGGCAATTCCAATTACAGTGGAGATGCGCTAAGAGTGCTCTGCCGCAAGTGGAGGAGCAAATGGAATACAAAGAAACTTACTTATAAGAGAATTCACTTTCAGTGTGTATGAAATCATATTTTTGGCAGAGATTGAGCTGTGATTTTTCTACCAAGCATGAGATGTCTCCATTGGCCACGTTTTAGTATTATTTGGACCCGCCACACATGTTGCCCTTAGCCCAGCTGTACTGTACAGCACCAGGCTTACAAGAGGCAGAAGGCAGGAGGAGCAGGGCACCAAAACTATGCTATGAATTTCATTTGGCAAGCCAAGGACATGCCCAACGTGCGCCTAAGCAGTCAGTGGTGGATGGAAATAAGGTGGAATAGATAAATATAGAAGAGGGGAGGGAAGTAGGAGGTGTAGCAGCAGAAACTGCCAGTTGGCGTCGCAAGCCGCCAGCCGCCAGCCGCCATCCGCCATCCGCCACTAATATTAAAATTGAAAATTTTGTAATTTTTCTTTTTGGCAAGCCGGCGCAGCGCAGTCATAACAGCAGCTGGCGCAATGCTCCTACGTTGCTGCCTGCTGGCACTCTTCCCCTGCAAAGGCGCAACCAAAGCGAGAGCCAGAAGCAGAGCTAGAGCTTATGCCTGGAACATATATCTATGTCCTGTTCTCTTCTTGGCAATAACATGCATGAGTGTGCAATTTTTGCAGTTGCCAAGACCATCGTCAGCTCCTATTGCCATTGCTATCGGCGTCCTCGTCGTCGTCGTCGTCGTCCTGCGGGAAATTTTCGACAGGTAAAAATGGCGACTGGGCCACAGACCGAAGCCCCCAGATCCCAGCTACCACAGACCGACCATCCGAGCGAGAACCAGGCTCAAACATGAGCTCTGAGCCGGAGAGGCAGCCGCAGAATTAACTAGACAACGAGGCAAACGGACCGAACATTCCTCAAGCTGCCAGGGCGCATTTGTACATCCAGAAGATACATTTTTGATTGAGTTACGTGTGGGGTGGTGGTGGGTGCGGGAGGTGGGGAGGTTGGGAGAGCCAAAAAATTGCTGGCTTCATTTGTTCCACGGCTGATTTATGAGTGGCCCAAGGCGAAAAAGTAGCAGAAGGCAGACCAAGGCACAGGCAAAGGCAGCAGGAAAACACAGAAGTGGCAGCTTTACGTGCAACTTGCAACGTGCGCTAATTTTATATAATTAAAACAAATACAAACACACTCCAAAGGGAAGGATAGAGACAAGCAGGAAGCAGCCAGCCAGCACGCCAGAAGCTTGGAGCTGAAAGCTTGGGGCAATGTGAAGCCTCTTCTGGCTCTGGCTTTCTACTCCTTCCAGGCACATGTCGCTAATAAGCCTGCGTGTTTACTGTTACTTGTTTCAACTAATTTGTCAGTTACGCCCCAGCCACGCCCTGTACGCCCGCATACCAAAGGCAAACACACAGCGAGAGAGAGAGAGGGGGAGCAGCAGACACTGTTATAGGGGCTTTCCGGGGGCATCAGGTGTCTGCACTTGGCCTTGCTAATTGCACAGAAAGAGAGAGAGAGAGAGAGAGAGAGAGAGAGAGCGACAGAGAAGAGGAGAAGTAGGAGCAGGAGCAGTCCTTTGCCTTCGACCATGTGAAATCTCAGACAATTGCGCTAATTGAAAACCTCCGATAAGACCAAATTGGTGGAACGCCTCAAGGGAAGAGCCACAGGAGAATACTAGAAGATAATATCATATGCCACGATCCGATAAACAAAAACTTTTGGGCACTCTACACTCGGGGGGGAGTATACAATTTTGCAAGTTTAACAAACAGAAGAAATGCAATTAAGCAGCAATAAATCCTTTGCCAATGCTGCCCCTGCCCCTGCCCCTGCTCCCACTGGAATGACTTTGGGATTCCATGGAATGGAATTTAAGTTCTTCGTCAGCCTCTAATTTGAGGATATCAAAAATAGCTGAACTGCCAGAACTGTTGGGGGAACACTGCTGGGCCAGCCAGCCATTAGGACAAAGTTATTAGGCTCTTCCCAACCCAAGAGGGAAGCGTGGGGAGAGGGGAGAGCAGAGTTTTGTCCGCTGGCAAAGTTTATTATGTAAACCCGGAGCAGAGCTAGAGCAGAGCCAGAGCAGAGCCGAGCGTCCAGTGTTTGAATTACTCGCCCAGCCGCCACTTGAGTCCCTGCAGGGGATGCATATTGAGGTCAGCCTGAGGACAGACTAAGGATGGGCGGATAGGAGGGAGGGGGAAAGCGAAGAGAGCGTAGAAGAGTGGCCCGAGGGCGCCGGCATCAGCCAGCCTGTGTCTCGGAGTCTCGACACTTGAGTAAATTATTTAGCCGCTCCGCTCCGCACACACACAAAAGCATATTTCGTTCAATTTTTGCAGCACTTTAACTTTTTGCTGTTGTTTTTGTTGCTTGCCCACTCTGCTTACCCCCCCCCTCCCCACCCCCCGGCACACTCCTCGCTCCATCCATCGCTCTTTTTGCTGTTCTTCTTTTATCTGTTGTTTCTCTCGCTCTCTCTTTTTTGCAGGTTTTGGCTTCGTTACATTTCAAAGCGAAGATGTGGTAGACAAAGTTTGCGAAATTCATTTCCATGAGATAAACAACAAAATGGTAAGTCGAGCGTAGCGCCATGAATCCCAGTTACTAACTCCACAACAACAACCCCGCTTTACCCGCTCCCCTCCCGCTCTCCATCTCCCTCTTTTCTCTCTGCAGGTCGAGTGCAAGAAGGCGCAGCCAAAGGAAGTGATGCTGCCGGCCAACCTGGCCAAGACTCGTGCGGCCGGCCGTTCTGCTTACGGTGAGTTGGTAGTCTGGGGCAGCCACGCCAATCAGGCGGCGGCAGCGGCAGCGGCGGCGGCGGCCTCGTCCGCTGCTGGCCTGCTGCCAAGTAGTTTAGCCGCTGCCGCCTCCGTGCTGCAGCAGCAGCATCAGCAGCAGCAGCACCACCACCACCAGCAGCAACAACAACAACAGCAACACTCACAGACACAACAACACACACACCCACACACACACTCACACGCACACCATCCCCACCATCAGCTGCTGGGCGCAGCGGCAGCCGCCGCCTCGCTGCGTTACTCCCCCTATCCGCTGCCCGCGCACCTCTCAGCGGCCGCACTCGCTGCTGCGGCTGTCAACCAGCAGCAACAGCAACAGCAAGCGGTGCAGCAGCAGCAACAGGCGGTTGCCGTCGCCGCCCACCAGCAGCAACAACAACAACAACAGCAGCAGCAGCAGCAAAGTCTCGCTCAAGCGGTGGCCGCTGCTGCTGGCGCCACGCCCTCGCTCATGCCCCTTTCGAACTCCGCCCCCACGGGTGGCCCCTCTCTGCTGCAGTACGCAGCGGCGGCGAATGCCAGCCAGAACAATGCCGCCTTGGCCAACTCTCTCTATGCGGACGCTGCTGCCGTGATGGGCTACAAGCGGCTTCTGGCCGCTGCCGCAGTGAGCAGCGGTCTCCGAGGAGCGCCCGGCGCCACGCTCAGCGCTCTGTCGGCGGCGGCCAACACCCCCGCAGCGGCAGCGGCCGCAGCCGTGGCCCAGCAGGCGCAGCTGCGTCAGAACGCGGCGCTGGCGGCCGCCCACTATCCGCTCAGCGAGCTGCTGGCGATGCCGGGCGGCCTGGAGATGTCGGGCGCCAATTCGGCTGCGGCGGCTGCAGCTTCGCTCTACCAGCTGCCCGGCATGTGACCGCCCAGGCAGCAGTGAGACGTGGAAATGATTCACTAAAGAATTGCTAACAAATCTGATTCCAATTGGATTTCCAAGCTTTTCGTAGCGCACACACCTACACACCGACACACACACACACATTGATATATATTTATATACCATATACACACACATATATACATATATATCTTTATATATATATATGAACTCTCATTCCGTCTCAATGTCCAAAAAATATGATTAGAGCGGCGCTTGTATGCAACGCCCTTAAGCCTAGGCCTAGGATTACGTGTAACAATTTCTTAGCCATGTAACCATAAACGTATCTTTTGAGTGTGTGTCTAAGCGAACCAATTAACTAATTACTTAACTAACTAACTAACTTAACTAGCGCGCATTCTACACGTTTTCTTTCGATTAGATCCTAAGAGAACCGAAGTTACTCGAACTAGCTTAAGATTCTAAGTATTCTAGGCTAAGTGCAGGTCCTAGATAGGCCTGCTTAGATGTGCGCAGATTGCTGCTAGGCAATCCTGAAGCAAACCTTAGACCTTAGAGGGCGATCATGTAACATATGTATGTCTTAGACACTTAAGAGCCAGCCCCCCCAAAACCCACATGAATGTAAAAATTAAACCCAAAAACCAAAGCGAAGCAAACAGCAGGAACAAATGTTGCAAATCGGCGCCTCATTTATGTTTTAACTGGATATATTTCTTGTACATCAAACGTATCTCTCATATCAATAGCTCTTCTAAAGTGTAACCCAAAGTCCTACTCTCTAGTGGCAAAAATCAAATGCAAAATGAACATTTAAGTTCAACAACAAATCGGATTTGAATCGAATTGAAACTTAGCAAATGTATCTCAAATTAGCGAATAAGAAAGAGCAACACCAAGAGCAAGTATCGGTAAAGGTATTAGAAATGAAAGTATCTACATACATGCTTACATATTCGTACATACATATTTACATAAATCAAATGTATTGTATGATAGTTTGAAAAGTGAATGATGGAATGGTGGAGTTATGATGCCCATTTGTTGTGGCCTTTAGGACAGCTGTCAGTGTGTAATTTGGTAAAATGGATCATGGATAATGGATGCCCAATTACAGGAGCTCCTGCTGTGCCGTTTGCCCAAATTACAGCACCGACAGTTGGGGGTCGCAATAACAGGGCAACCTTAGCCAACTTACCGTGCAGGCAGACAGACAGACAGGCATCTTCTTGTACTTTGACTCCCACATCCACATATCAGAGCAGACATACAGACATGCTGTATGTAGATACTGTACTTGTCTTGCATATATAGCCATTAATATTTGACTAAACATGAAACTAGCTATTTATTACTCGTATATACATACCTACAGAAGCGCATACATACTTACATATATTCTACATACTCGTACTACATTTATACATATTGCATTACGATAAGCGCATTAAGCGCTGCTCAAGTTCAGAATTCTAGTTTGTACTCGTACAACGTTGTACTTGACGTTATATCCATTGTAATCTTAGCCTAAGTTGCCACAAAACAAATCAACAAAGCAACAAAAACGACAACAAACTAACTGGCAAACAAGCAAACAAACCGGAAACGGAAACCAGCCATCCGTCAACGCACTGATGCCAAAGATGAACGAATGAGAGAAGAGCAAGGAGAGCAAAAGTCGTAGAAGTGAACATTTGATGATTGAAGTTTGGAGGAAAGCGATGCCAGGCCAAAGCAAAATTTATACATATTTCTTACAAAAATATTTCCCTCCTAATATAGATGTCAACCTCTTTTTTATATTCTCCATCCCCAACCCACCCTAATCTTGATTTGTAGCAAATTCTCTAGCCCATATATATTTAGTTATTTTGTGTGTGATTATAGTTATGAATTCTCTTGATTTGATTTCAATTTCGATTTAATCCTTTATCCTTAGCCGCTTGTGCGGGGCAATGGCCTGCTGGCGTGTGGCATTTTCGTAGAAATGCACTGTCACAGGCCCTTAGAATTGCCCCCGCAACGGATATTTATTCTAAATATATTTAAACAAATATCTATTCGTACTCGTACTCGTACGTACTCGTATATTAAGCAGTGAATTAGCGAAAATATTTAAAATTTATACTCATAGCATAGCCATTAAATGTCTTAGATAACATTATATCTAATAAGTGTTTAGAATTGTGTGTCATATCGATCAAAATGTAACTCTGACTCTATTTATACTATATGTAACTTTAAATAGCTCAAAACAAGGCTGTTATTGCAAACAAAAAGAGAACCACAAATCGGGAGGGAGGGAATCTCTAGATATCTTAGAACTCTACACACACACATTTAACACATACAACTAGTACATATAGTGGAACAATCGATCGATCGATTCATCGATGCTGTTTCTTAGTTGCCAAATTACACATAATATTTTATAGCATAGAACTCTAAGTACACCAGAATCGAAATACTAACAAAAACACTAATCTAATACCGATCTACATAATAGTAAAACATTCTTTCTTCATATATATATATATAGTTTATAACAATTAGTCCTACACACTACTATATATCTGATATAATCTCGATACTCTCTTTCGTTTCCAAACAATTAGTTCTAATACTTTTTGATATTGTAACGACTGAATGTTAGTAATTTGATCTCTTTTTATAATCCACCTTTTTAGATAACATCATGTGGGGTCTGGGGACATTGCCCGAAGGTAATTATAACCAAGTATGATTTATATTTTTTGATCTTAATCGATTCTTTATTCTCTTCATCGCAGGCTTTCCGGCAGCTGCTTATGCTGCCTATGCCGCTGGTCGCGGTTATTCGGGTTATCCCTCCTTTGGACTCCCCTATCCAACTGGTAAGTTCCGTTCATTCATGCTCTCGTATATGTGCGTACAACACCCCACCACACACACATACACACACACACACACACACACACACATATTTGTAGGTACACAAACACCCCATCCAGCGCCCTCTCATTAGCATTACTACTAACTCGCCTCCAGCACTGATTATGATGATTTGTTTGCCCTCGACGCTTGCGTTCGTTCGATTCGATTCGATTCGTGTTTCTGTGTTCCATCATCCACTCAAATCACCAATCAGCCAATCAGCCCACTCAGTCAGTCAGTCAGTAAATCAAACATTTCTGTTACTTTTCTTTGAGTTTGTTGTGTTTCTGTTTCTGTTTCTGTTTCCTTACTTCTTAATTTTGTATATTTGCTTTGCAGCCGGTGTAATGGGCGTAATGCCGGAGAATCGTATACTGATTGGTGATTACCTGGTGGCACCCACCAATGGCTCCTCCTAGGGATCCCCCAAGTGCTGGTGTATCTGGGATCTGGGATAATCGAATCAACCACAGCTGAAATGACTATTTATCGAGTATTACTCACGATCACGATCAATAAATGAAATCATTTTTTTGCTAAAGCCTCAAAGCCTTCGTCATATCAATGCACAAATAGAAGATTACACACTTACCTCACACACAAACACACATTGAATCAGATATTTCCCCATCCATTTCGATTTGGTATAGAATTTTCCCCTTTAGAATCGATTCCTTGCGCGCAAATCTCCTGTGCTTGGCCTTGCGTTTATCATTTGCAACATTCACAAAGATCACAGATCACACACAGAGAGCTAACTACAGAACACGTGGCTACTAGGGCTTCTAGCTGATACATGTCTCTAAATATAACCTGATACCTGATCCCGATACCCGACCAGATCTAACCCCCACCAGCCATTGCCCCATGCGAACCCATTGCGTGTGTTAGAGCTGTAAAACAATCGATGCAAACAATTCTCTCCATTGTTTTGTTTTTTGGTTTCTCTTAGATTAGGTTTCCAATTCGAAGCGTCTGCCCCAATCCTCTTTCGATCGATAGTTTTGCAGCTCTAGCGTGTGTCTCTCTCTCTCTCTCTCTCTCTCTCCATCTGAATCTCTCTCTCTCTCTATCTATATTGTATCTCGTATGATTTTGTAGGCTTGACCATTTGCGGCATCGGTAGGAGTTATGGTGCCGCATGTAGCGCGACACCGGGCCGCAGCAGAGCCGCTCCGGGCGGTGCCTCTGCTGTTGGTGGTGCTTCGGCGGCTGCCGCCGCCGCTCATGGCCCACCCCAGTCGGGATATCATCAACAGGCGCTGGCCCTGCCACTTGCCACAGCGCTGACAGCCCGCTCGGCGGCCATCAAGTCACAGTTTCTGGGCAACATAAATTTCTAAGAGCTGAATCGAGTCTGACAATGAATCGAGCGACACACAGAGAGATAGCCAGAGAAGCAGACAACAAGGCCCTGCAAAAGTTTTTGATGTTTACATTTCGATTCTCATTGCCATTTTTGCCTCTTTCTCCTCGGGTCTCCACGACAACGACACGCTATCCAAATAAATCATTTGTACAAGTGACAAGTAGGTACAGCAATCAATAACAACCACAACAGCAAACTGCAACTGCAACTGCAACAGCAACAGCAAGTGCCGCAAGTGCCACAAACAGCCATAGTTTAGCCCCATATGTCTACGGTAATGGTACGAGTAACAACTGAAAACTGAAAACTACAACCAGCCGATAACCGCATCCAGAACATGATGAAATGAGCCTTAAACTCGAAACGAAAACTAACCAGAGATTCGAAGAGAATCCATGTAATCCTCACACACAAACACTTAGAGCTGCAGTCTTATGGCTGGACACACAATTAGCAGCCACAAATAGCTGACATTATAGCCACTTTCTCGTTCCACTTACTCCCCATATCGAATCAGTATTAGCTGGAATCCCTAAGTAGTAACTAGCGTTATCCACGTATCACAATACTCATACAGAAATACGTATGATGTAGAGGGTTAGCCTGCAACCTCTTAGCGCAGTTCTATAGCCAATGTGAACGAAAGTATCTACTATAACCGTGTAGCATCGCTTAGGCTTAGATCTTTAGGCAAACATAATCACATAAACAGACATATAACCATGTATACGTACCACACTGTATCGCCTATACTCGTATATCGCTCTATAGAGACACCAACTAGAGATAACCCTAGAAATATCTGAAATATACTTATCTACAGTAACTGCGTATATACGATAGCCAACTATAATCACACACGAATCTCTCGTACATTTGTACCCTTTGACCTGGTCCCAGTACTGCTGCTATTACTGCTCCCATTTGTGCGACAATTCTCGCATTTGTACTCCTATCGCATCCCCATTCAGAGTCATTCCATCCCATCCCATTCCCCCCGACATACATTTAATATTTATAAAACTATTTTACCGTAGCATCTAAATGCAAATTTCATTTGTAGTCCTTCCTCCTTGTATACGTTTGTACTATGCATAAATTAGTTGCTGCTTCCCACAATTGGAGCAACAGCAGCGGCAGCAACAATTTGGAATTCCGAAATAAAATGCACATGGAATAACATTTAGATAACGACAAATTTTAGCAGGCCTGTCACACATGTAGTGCCATTATTATCCTTTAATTAATTTGCTGCATATTATGTATGATATTTACTCTGGCTTTTGTTGTTGTTTGAGTTTCGTTTTGTTTTTTTTTTTTGCAATTTCCATACCCCATTTTCCTCTACTGATTTTCAGTTTTTTTTGTTTCTATTTTAGTTTCAGTTTTAGCTGGAGCTTCCGCTTCTGTTGTCGGTCTACATACATAAATGTAGATACATATATATATATATATATTGGTGGTTCCCATGAGTTTTTAGAGATAATTAGCAAACGTGCGCAGAGATTTTTGCCATGGCAAAAAGTTCATTAATTAGTAGATTTGTCCATTTATCCATTTGCCCATTATCCGTTGTTGTATTATTCCGTTTCGTAATATTAGCAACAAACCGCATTTGGCCACCCCCACATATTGTACGAATTGAAAGCCTTTAAGAGAATCAACTATGAAAATTCCTTCCTTCATCGGTGCATCGCTAAAAAATCAACAAACAAAAATCGAAGAAAAAGCAAAAGAAAGAAATGTTTGGCCACAGCAAAACAACAAAAATCAAGCGAAATTTTTGGAAATTTCTTTATTAAAAATATAGACATTATTATATACTATATACTATACCTATATCTATATACATGACTATTTATACATATATACACGTATTTAATATTCGAGGGTTTACAAATTAAGCATTCGACGAGTGAATCGGCGTGAATCAATTTGATTTGTACAATACTTAACGATAAATACAATATTAATGTCCATCCATTTTCGAAGAGCAACAAAACGAAACGAAAAACGAAAAATGAAACGAAACACAAACAACAACAACAACAACAAAAATCTCTCTCTTTAAGTTGATGAAAAATTGCAATTTTTCAATGGTTCTCTCCCACATGCAAACCAAAAAGTGAAAAGAAAAACCCATTCGACGTTCGAATCTAGTTATGGCATACCTTAATGAATGATCAATCTATAACTAAATCTATAAATTGATAGATTGATAAGCTGTTACTTAGTTAATTGAATGCAATTATCGCCACCTGCTGCCACATGGCCACACATTCTGGGCACATGGCTGGCAGTTGGTGGCCCCAAGTGCTTTGAGGGTGCTGCTTGCAACTAAACATTATAAGGCGCTTTCGAGTTATATATTTACACACACACACACACACACCCTATATAGCACACACTGACACACACATCCCACAAATACACACACTTGCATACCTACTATATGTATTTTACACGCATATACTGTGATTTATAAGAAAACGCTTCAAACGAGAACAAAAGAAAAAGAAAAACCATTTGCCAAACGCAGTATTGAAAATTGCTTGCAAAATGGAAAACCGAAAAGTTATTAACTAAATAAATGCACAAAAACTAAGATAAATAAAGCGAAAATAAAATCTAATAAATGCGGAACAAAAGCCGAAACCAAAAAAAGAAAAAAAAAACACAAAAACCCAAAGCAAAGTCTATCCTTTCCGGGCTGCAGGGCATTTGCATTTGCATTTGACTTTGTCTCTGTTCGTTCGGTCGGTCTCTGGCTCTTGTCAGAGACTCTCTGGGTATTATTAGCATTTTCGAAGGCAAATTTCTTGAATGGTTTCGACGGAGAGACAGGCAGAGAGAGAGAGAGAGAGAGGGAGATAGTGACAAAGTGGCCAGCGGGGCGTGTGCGCTTTAGACCTGACAGCAACTTGGCAACGACAACATCCGCAGCAGGCCACGGGCTGAAGGCAAAGCCAGCAAACAACTTGCAACATCAAGAGCAACATCTAACCGAACAACAACACTCTTCGACACACACTCAACAAGGTCAGCTAATGGTCGTCTTATAATTTCAATGCATAATCGTACCATACCAGCATTTACTTACTCTTTTTATATACATACATTACATTACAAACATATATCTCTATATATCATATAGTATGTACAATATATATTGAACCTATAACCGTTCCGAAAGAAGTTTTCGCATCCTATGATTATTAACTTGACTTTATGTATTATGTAAACTGTTAGTTGATGATAGCAAAAGTTTTAGCAACAACAGCCTAATAAAAACCTAATAAAAACAAATTGTAAACTGTCCCCCATCAACATCGATTGGCGGCAGTCGTAGTCTCCTCCCAAACATGGAGTAACAAAAAAAAAACATACGTATACTCGTATTTATGTGGAGTTTTTTTTCTTCTTCGTTTTGCCTCAGTTTATGGAACATTTCACACATTACACACAAAACAAGACTACAACGATTATAGCTGGACTATAAATAAATATAGAATTTGCTATTGGAAAAGGTATCATGTGTAACCCACTCTCATTAGCTGTAGTAACATAACGAATTGTAACTGAATAATCAAACATATAACCACACAAAATTGTAGTAATCATATGTATTCGAATCTTAATGTAACACTCAGCTGAATTATATCAGCAACAATTGTGTAGCATTCGCCCGCTGATCATGTAAATGTCTTCCTTTAACCAATTTTGTTTGCACAAATGTCTCAATTGAAGCGTGTGTCCTGTGGGGGGGGGGAAAAAATATAGGGTTGCCAGGTCGGCAGCTGTAAGCAGAAACAGTTGTTTTTTCGACACCACAGAAGCGTACAATTGTCGGGGATTCCACCAGCGGAAACGCATTTCATTCAATGCCAAACAAACAACTGAAGCAAAAAATCCCCGTACTAAATAAGTTATTTATTTAGAAAAGAAACGGTTACGGTTACGGTTACAGTTACAGTTACTGTTGCTGTTGCTGCAACTGCTGTTGCTGCTTCAACGGGTTATTTCTGCTGTTTTCGCTCTACTCCTTTCCGCTGCTTTTCCGCTGCTGTTGCTGTCACTGCTTTTGCTGCTGTTTCTTTGTGGCATTGCCAGACTCTAATGAAAACAACATGGCGCTCGCAAAAACGTAAACTAAACGTAAGCCAAAGTTGATTGGCGCCATAAAACGCACAACAGAAACAGCAGGGGGATAAGCTGGGAGAGAGAGGAGTGTAGGGTGGAGTGGAGTGTGAGGCAACCGACGACGAGTCACGGCCATGCCTCGTTACGTTACATCACGTTACGTTACATCAATTTTTGTGTTTCCGCAGGAAATGCAACATCGTCGCTTCCCTCCGTCTCATCCATCCTTAACCCGTTACCCGTTATCCAATCTTTTTTCGCTTTCCCTCATTCATACTCGTATGTATTCCGCCTCCCCACCGCTACCCCTCTTGGAATGGGGCATGTCATTGGGGCTGATGTGTGAGAGTCTTGTCAGGGACTATACCAGCAGCAGCAGCAGCAGGAGCAGAATCAGAACCAGAAACATCAGGGTAGCCCGAAAAAAAGATAGTCCAGAACTAGACCAAACCCCGTTCGTCCTTCATTCACATTCACAGTCGTCGCATCCGCAACCTCACCCCATTCACCATTCATTCACCATTCGTATTCGCATTCGCATTCGGTTGTCATTTCAATATTGGCGTTGGCGTATTTTTACTTGCTGCAGCAGCTGTGGCCATAACAAGGGAACAACAGTAATAGCTATGGCCATGGCTATATCTAGGGGGAAAAGAAAAAACACGAAAAACAGGGCCAACAAAAAAAAAAGGAAGAGCGCGCGTTAACAAGAGAGGAGAAGCGCCCAAAGGAAAGGGCACATCACGGGCCAAACCAAGCGAACTAACTGAGTTTGGCTCGGTTTGGACGGGTTTTTCGATGGCTCCGGATAGGTTTTGATGGGATAGGATTGGTTTGGTTTGGTTTGGTTTATTCTGGCTTTGGGCTTTGTTTTGTCATCATGGAAGACAGCCAGAGTGGAAAACCGTAACCGTAACCCCTCCCCGCCCCTCTGCTAACCAATGCAATGCTCGTTTAATAACCGAGCAGTTTTGTGTTTTCATAACCTGCGTTCCAGTTAGCGTTTCTCCACAACCCCCCACCCTCCCTTTCCGTTATACTCGTGTATCTGTATGTATCTTTTACTCTTTGGTTCTTCTGTTCTTTTGTTTGTGTTTGACGTGTAGTTGTTCCGGGACTACTTAGTTAGTGTCTCTTTACTTTCGCTTTTGATTGCTTACTTTCTTGGCACAAGCACACACAGAACTCGTACTCGTACTCGTACTTGTACTCGTTTGTAACCGCTATAACCATATGTACCCACTATATACTTATAAGAAACGCATATACTCTCGTACTCTCTCTCTCTCACTCCATACTTGTATACTCCTGTTCCTACTTCGTGACCTGTAGATTATCTTTCGTGTATTGTATACTCTTGTCTTGGGCACTGCCTACATATACTCAGCCCCAACCCCTAACTCTTAGCTCTGTCCCCCGCCCCGCCCTACCGTGTGCACTCCCCACTAATGTCGCGTCTACCCTTCTGCCACTTGCAGTTGATCTAACCAATGGGCAGCTGACACCCAACAACAATACACCGCTGCTGACCCAGGCGTTGTCAGGTAAGTAGATAACTGATGAGCAAAGGCGCCAACAATTAAACACATCTCCACCTCTCTCTCTCTCTCTCTCTCTCTCTCCTCATCCTCTAGTGATGAACAACTATCAGGCAGCTGCCGCGGCTGCTCATAGCTTTGGGCCATCGGCATCGCCGCATGCTGCAGCCGCTGGCACGGCCAATAGGCAGGGGTTCCCATCCACCAACTCGCCGGGACCAACCATTGACATGTACAGCTCGGCCGGTGCCGACAATGTGGGCTATGTGCAGGCCACCAGTCCGCAGCCATCCGGCTTCCCCATCGCCGTCAGCCGAGCCCCGTTGAACTACAGCCCGGTAAGTGCAGCCCAGTCCAGCCCCAGACACAGTGACAGTTATTAGAAAAATATGCAAATCTGAAGCCCAAAGACTGAAGACAAATCCTTTGGACTTCGGATTAGCCATGGTGAGATAGTTGGCCACGCGGGAGAAGTCAGGGCGCGATGGGAAATATCCAAATTCTACTTACTCATCGTTTAATTGTTCTGTTCAATGATATTGCTTTAAACTTTATACACACACCGAAACACACACACACACACACACACAATCACATCCGTCCCCGACACCGTAGCGATAAAGAGCGACCACCGATGTAGAGTTATAAAAAAAACAACAACAAATGCGTTATCCTTCTATATATATTGTATGTATTTCTCTTTCATTTCGTACAGATTTATTCGTTGAACTTTGCGATGGCTAATATATAAAAGACTGAAAACCCAAAAATATAAACGCAAAAAGAAACAAAACAAAAGTAACGCAAAAGTAAAGCAAACAATTATATATTTAAATCGAGAATATATATAAATACATATATATATATATGCAACAAAAACAACAAAAAGATATAATAATAATAATAAACGAAAGCAAGAGCAAAAGCAAACGCAAAAACAAAACAGAAATAATAAGAGTATAAAATAAAAACAAACGCAGTTGCACAAGGTAGGCACACCAACAAAATACAGCGTGTTCTCTTCTCTTTTTTTTTGTTTGTTTCAACTAAA